TACAAAATGTGTTTCGCGCTCGACTTAACAGCCAGTGATTTATTTTGGTAGCTCGCTGGCGGCATTTGTGAATGATGAATTCATTTCTATGTGTGTGTGTGTGTGCGTGTGCGTGTGTGTGCAATTAAATTGCATTTATTTGTTGTTGCAATAATAAATGTTGCTACGCTATGTAAATAGGAGTTATTTTCCACGTGGATCACATGTTATGTAGCAGGCAGGTAGATCATATGTTAAGCTCGCTGCAAAAGCTGTTTGCATTGATAACAGTATGTTAAGTAACAGTCATTTGCTGAAGGATCGCTGTGGCTTACATGTGGCACATTTACAATTGCAATTCAAACATTATTTTATTTGAGTAAGATATGTCTTTTTTTTTTCATGGTAATCGCAGTTTAGTTCTTAATTTGTGGCATGGGAACCAGTTGCGACCAATTGACCATCATCAGCCTAATCACAGTCCAGGGGCCAAACACAGCCGCCGTTTGTAATTGCACAATTTGACAATTTCATTAATTGCGTTTAATTGCTGACGTTTTCGAATTGTGTTTCACTGTGCTTTTGTTTTGCCGTTTCTTAATTGCAATTTCTGTTACAATTTCATTTGTAAATTGCTGTTGTTGTTGTTGTTGTTGCTGTCCCCGTTACTGTTTTTGTTGTTGTCTTACGAACAAGGCGCCAGCCACTTGATGCGACCTTTGCGAACGCGCCAATTCATTAATAAATTGCTCAAACAGCTTCAAAGCTTTTTATGCCGTTATCAAATTGCTTGCTCACTTGTCGTTGGGGCTGCTCGCCATGCCCACGTCATCCCACTTGGCCAGTGCTGCCCATATCGCTTGATTTCCGCCGAATCTAGTTCTCAAGTGTAATTGTGTGACGTGTTGTGCAAATTCTGGCTGTTTTTAAGAGTGTTTTAGCTCTTTTCTAGTCTAACAACAAAGTAAAAGTGAATTTGAGCATTTCATTTGAGAAGTAGCTTTTCTTTGCTTTGCAAAACTTGGCAGCACTGCACAGAGCGTAACTAATCGAACCGAACGGATGCATTGTGTATGCTCTTACATCTTGTGTCGGAGCTTTTCATGTGAAATTGACACAGATTTTCATCAAATTAATTGCTGTGAGGCGTTTAAAGTGCGGCCTACTCAACAAGCGTGCTACAAGTGCTACGAGCACAAACACGCATACGCATACGCAGACAGTGCCACGCCTACCGCTGCCACGCTTATCAGTAGCCATAAACAGCTAGCAACAGTCGCTCTTATAAAAACTTTGCTTCCGCTTTGCTGGCTGTGCCCGAAGCACAGTTACAAAGCGCGGCAAACGAGCCAGCCAGAGAGAGGGAGAGAGTGACAGAGAGAGAGGGAGAGTGAGTGGGAGAGCATGTGGGGGCGAGATGTTAAGTGAGTGAACGTCGTTTCAATTTATGACACTTTGACAGCTTTCCGAAACACTGTGCGTCGCGCTGTGCGAATTTTAATTAAAATACAAAATTTAATTTACGCGCGCTCTGCAGCGTAGCCAAAACTTTGACTTAATGAAGGCAGCAACAAAAGTTTATCAACGCACACCAACACACACACACAAGTACACGATGGCAAAGTGAAATGAAGAAAACACTATAAACACAAATCAAAGCAGCAGTTTACGACGGCGCCCACACACACACACTTGCACACACAATTCATCAATTGCTACTATTGGCGCTGGCCCTCTCGCGCTCTCTCTCTCCATGTTGCTCTCAGGGTGTTTACATTGGGCTGCTAACATTGATGGGGCAAAACTGTTGTGCTGTCTGTTCCTTCTACTTGAGCATTTGCTGATTGTTGTGTTTGCCTCAATTGCTTTGAATTGAATTATAATTAAGTGATAAATGTGCCTTTATTAATATTGTTATCGTGTTAATAGCATAAAACCAATTACTTATTAACACTGATTACATGCAATAGAACACTTATTGTTTATCTATCTATTCTCTTTTGCTTACATACTGTTAGCAGTGATTAGCATAAGCAAATGTTAATACTTCTTATTTAGCAGTTGCTGATTAACAGTCATTGTCTAACACTTAAAGCTTTTACTTTCATGCAACACCCTGGGCTCTACAGTGGCTCTGGTAATTATTCACACCTAGCTCATATTTGACACTAAAATTAATTGCGTGTCAAGGTTTTTGCTGCTGCTTTATTATTTAAACTCTGATTCCTAGTGAGAAATGGGCATATTAATTACCGTTTCCTATGCAAATCATATGAATAATATATTTGACATAATCACAATTGTGGTGTTTTTTTATTTTTGAATGAATGCATGCCATGAATTAAAAACTGCGAAATACCAGTTGAAATTGATTAATTTGAGTACGCATAACAGTTTAATTGTTATTTTTATCAATAATTAAAATTGGCCCTTTAAAGGACTCTGTGAATAAAACATTTGCTGATGCATTACGCCAAAAGCTTTTGTGAAAAATTATCATTCAATACATATATATGTATGCATGGTCTTACATACACTGTACACAATTTAAGTTTACAATGAAATTACATTTATAAACGTTTTTTTAATGTTAATGGGAAATCATATTTTTGGCGTAAAAAGCAAAAAGTTGAATAAAATTAATTAAGTGAGGAAATTGTTCTACCTCTTTAACATATTCGTTTAAATTGTCAAATGCCAAGGCATTTTTTACAGTGCACACATACTTGAAACTCGTTTTGTATCTTTGTTATTGAGTGCATTATTGACAACTTGTCCTGTGCCGCGCACTGAAGGACACTCTGTTGGCGCTGCAAGCGCTGCCTGTCATTTGCCACTTCGTTTTTAGCCCTCTTTCGTTTCGCTCTACTCATGCAACTGCATATTTTAACAGGTTCGCCCTTTCACCGACCTATCCTCGCTGCCACGCCTCGCGCCCACTCAACAAGCTCTTGACGTGTGCGTGCATCGTGTTATGGGAAACTGGTTTCGAATGCGCCTACCCTTTCTCGCACACTCCACTCACTCTCCCTCTCTCGCTCTGCCTCTGTCTTTCTACATATCTAGGCGTAGCTTTGGCACTCGTCGCACGCCTTATGAATGATTCAAATGCATGTTATGTGCGCAAAAAGAAAAACCTGACAAAAAAAAATACCGTTAGCAGTTGTTGCGCTTTTGTATATACCCTCGCGCATTAAAGCTTTTACTGGGTATATCAACATTAAGAGCTTTTTGCTTAAGTTAGCACAGATTTTTTTCTGATACTTTTTGTTGTGTTGCCTTCTGTGTAATCAGAGTCATCCAATTAACATTTTGCTTCACTGTTAACATTGCTTGCTGTTACAGCCTTGCAAATAACAGTTTCGACAGTGAACACTTAACAGTGTGCACTGTTATTCAGTGTTAACAGAGCTCTCTGTAACAGTAGCTAGCATATTTTAAATGCTGTAAACAGGCTTTCAATTGAAATATGTTTCGAATAGGGTATGCTCAACGTGCATCACTTTTCGCTGCACATGTTCACATGATTTCAGATGCCTCTGACATCTCGTTTGTTGCCGGTTTCCGTTTGTTGGTCTTAACGTAGTTGCTGTTGCTGTTGTTGTTGTTGTTGTTGTTGCCTCTGTGGCATTTTAGGTGCGCTGCTGCGACTATGACCTTTGTCAATGGAATTCGGGTTCGAATCTTTTGTTCATTTTTCATTTGTTTTCCTCTCTCGTAAACTGCTTTCGCAAAAATGTTTTGTCAGAGTAACGAAGGATTTTGTAGTTAGATCTGACAAGCAAAGGTATTTGAATGCTTGGTTCTCTTCCTATTGTATTTATTAGAATATTTGCATGCGAATGCAGATTTTCATGACAGATTGTTGACATAAGAATATTGAAAGCTGCTGCTACTTATCGAATACAAATGCATCATGAATCACGCTTTGAATCATCCACAGTGAAATTTCACTTGAGCGAACAGCAGCTTATTATCAGGCTTTTTTTACTGTAAAAAATATTGCTTTTATTTTTGAATCGTGAAACTATTTGTGTACTTAATTACATATATGTATGTTTTCCAATGAAACTGTATTCAGAAAATGTAAAAAAATCGCAAATCATTTATCGTGTCGATTTCGTGTTTAACATTAATCAAAAGCGTGAAATATTTGTTGTTGGCCGAAACTCGCAATCCATACAAATACAAATATAACTTTCGGTTTTCAACCATATTTACATACATAAATTATAATTTTTTTATGGTCATTTTTTGTTGTTATATCGGATTATTAAATAATGTTGGTTTTTGTTTCCATTTTGCTTTCTTTGCAGTTGAGTTGTTTCTCAAGGTCTTTCGGTGCGTGCGGAAGCCAGGAATAGTGGCAGAGCGGGCAGAGGGGAGCAACATAACTGGTTGTGGGGCATGAGCTGGCCGAGGCGATACTGGAACTGGACGTCGTCTCAATGGAGCAGCAGCAAGCCACTGTGAGAAGAGGATGCGACCAGAAGGGCAAATAGTTAACCAACATCAGCAGCAGCAGCAGCGGCTGAGATTTTGCCTTGTCCGTGCTTAGCATGAGACAGAGACAGAGAGAGCGACAGCTCCACAAATGTGCCAACAAACCATAGCAACAACAAAAACAACAAAATAAAATTCAAAGCAAAATCAAACTAGAAAAAAGACAGAGAGAGGGAGAGAGGGAGTTCACGGCGCGTGTCAAACAATATGTCTGATAAGAAAAGTTATACACTGTTAACATACAATAAACAATAACAGCCGCAACCATAACATATCCTTCAAGTTAACAGCAGAGTGCCCAAAAGAAAGCAAAAACTCACTCAAGCCTAACAGTGCGCTGTTAACATGAGTGTCGCTGCACACAGCAATAAATAGCCACGCAGACAGAAGCTGACTGCTGCCAGATAAACTGATTGACTGACAGAAACAAATCAAATTTGTCGCACGCAACACAAAAATTTACGGTAGTTCTAACAGCACCAACAACAAACAATAACAGTTTAACAAACGTAGTTAACATGACTCTGCAAAGCTTTACACGCAAAATGCGCGGACGCATGCGCTCAAACACCTGCCGCATCGTGCTGCTCACCTCTTTGGTGTGGGTCATATTTGACTTTGTGCTCATAGCCCACTATTCGGACTGTATAGGCAAGGATGGCTGGCGTTGCAGGCGAGCCGGCGAATACGATGTGGAGGTAAGTAAATGCTATACAGATTACAGATTACAGATTTACCTATCTCATATATCAACCTGTCATTGTCTTCTCTTGCAGCAGCCCAACGCTGAGCGTTTGGTGGACGACAATCAGCTGGTAAATGATAATGAAATCAATACGGAAAAATCATTGGATGCCGAGGATAGCGCTGGCATTGCGCCCATTATGGGTCAAGGCTTCGTCTCTGGCGGCATTTCGATGACCTATCGCAGCGTGGTGTTGAAAAAATGGTTCCAGGCGCCCACGGTGCGTGAGTCGCGTGGCAAGCCGGGCGAGATGGGTAAACCCGTTAAAATACCCGCCGACATGAAGGATCTCATGAAGGAGAAGTTCAAGGAGAATCAGTTCAATCTATTGGCCAGCGATATGATCTCATTGAATCGCTCGCTGACAGATGTGCGGCACGAGAAGTGAGTGCGCCGTTGAAGCAAGCGAAGCTAGAATCTATTCATCTGAAATATCTATCCCCCATTTAGTTGCCGGCACAAACACTATCCCTCAAAGCTGCCCACCACCTCAATTGTGATAGTATTCCATAATGAAGCGTGGACAACGCTGCTGCGCACCGTTTGGAGTGTCATCAATCGTTCGCCGCGCTCTCTGCTCAAGGAGATCATACTGGTGGACGATGCCAGCGAGAGGGGTAAGCTAGCGGTAGCCGGATCTGCTAAATTTCTCATATATCTAACGTCTCGTCTGCTTTTGTAGACTTCCTGGGCAAACAGCTGGAGGATTATGTGGCCAAGTTGCCAGTTCGTACGTTCGTGCTGCGCACGGAGAAACGTTCCGGTTTGATACGCGCACGTCTCCTGGGCGCTGAGCATGTCACTGGCGAGGTCATCACCTTCCTGGATGCGCATTGTGAGTGCACCGAGGGCTGGCTGGAGCCTTTGTTGGCGCGCATTGTTCAGAATCGTCGCACTGTCGTGTGTCCCATCATTGATGTCATCTCCGATGAGACCTTCGAGTACATTACCGCCTCGGATTCAACGTGGGGCGGCTTCAACTGGAAGCTCAACTTTAGATGGTGGGTTTAAGTAGGCCAATTTCCTGGATATAAATAGTAATTGTGACACTTGCAAATGCTAGTTTGATGTAGAGAAAGCGCCAGTTCGATTCAGCTGTCAGTGTGAGAATAACTATAAACAAGGTAGCTCTATAGATAAAATCCACTTAATGATTGACTTGCATTTCCCATCTGTTTCAGCGCCATATTATTATGAAAAGCAGCTTTTACTTGTGCTTGATGAGCTTTGCAATTATATTAAAGCTTATAATTAAAATGTATAGTAATACAATGCAGTATTTAAAAGCTCTAAGCTACGCCTTACTGTGGAAGCTTTAGCGTGGAGAGCTTTGAAAGCTCATTAAAGCAGCAAACCATGTAGTTAATATAAGCCTAAAAGCTTTAGGCTATACGAATTTACCTTAAAAATTTACTTTCATTATTTAATAGACTTGAAGACTTCTACGACTAAGCTTCTACTCTGAAAGCACATTAAACCAACAAAAGATGTTTATTATATAGAATCAATGCAATAAGCGCATAATGTTTTGTGCTCAAGTTTTGTATTAACTTGAGTCTAAAAGTTAAGCCTGACTTTAAGCAAGTCTCGTCTGTGAGTTTTATACCTTTATACTTTTGTCTAGCAAGATTAATCCTAGCATAAGCTTAAGCAAGTGTCATTGGACTTGTGGCTAAATCTAATTGAATTTAAAATTTCTAGGTATCGTGTTCCACAGCGTGAGATGGCCAGACGCAATAATGATCGCACAGCCCCGCTGCGTACACCGACAATGGCTGGTGGCTTGTTCTCCATCGACAAGGATTACTTCTATGAGATTGGCTCCTACGATGAGGGCATGGACATTTGGGGTGGCGAGAATCTGGAAATGTCGTTTCGAGTAAGGCAAATTTCCATGCAATATGATCTTCTATGGTTTTTCTATTCGTTCTTACAGCTACAGCCAAGCCGCAAAAAAAGACAAAAAACAAAAAAGAAATGTTGCCCATTTGCCTACATTAATTATCATAATTATATTCATTTTCTTTCTCCTCATTTAAGTCACAATTTTTGTTTGTTTTTTTTTTTGTTTGTTCTTATTTTACTTCGAAATGAAAAATTGAATTGTGAAAAATATTTCTAATCACAACCAACACACAAACAACAACAATCCATGACAATTCCCAGATATGGCAATGCGGAGGCATTTTAGAAATTATACCCTGCTCGCATGTGGGCCACGTGTTCCGCGACAAGTCCCCGTACACCTTCCCGGGCGGCGTTGCCAAAATTGTGCTGCATAATGCGGCGCGGGTGGCCGAGGTATGGCTGGATGAGTGGCGTGATTTCTATTATGCAATGAGCACAGGTTCGAAAATATTTAAAAACCAAAAAAACAAAAAAAAAAAAAAACTAAAAATCAAAAAAACAAAAACAAACTCTCTACAAGACAAGAAAACAACATAAACAATAACCGACTCTACTTACATAATTATCTAGTGCGCATCTAACACCTGAATTTGATTTTAAAATAATAATTTTAATTGGCTTTCACTTGCTACTAAAAATAAAGATTGACAAAATGGTATTCTTCGGTCTGCCGAAGCTGAAATACCCTTGCAGACATCTAATGTGGATTCTTTAGCTGTATTCCGCCAATTTTTCACAGTTGCGGGTGAAATTTTTAGCAATTAATTAATTGAATACTTATGCAGAAACTTTGTAGTCAAATTTGGAACCGTTCGAATGAAGCGTGGAGCTTTATCAATAGAAATTTCATCTAACAAATCCTTAAAACCCTTTCCGTTATTTTTCCACACTTGGGCGTGGAATTGAACACTTGATGTTAAATTTCAGTATAATTTTTCATAGGTTTAATAGTTTAGTTGTTTATATTAATAGAAACAATTTAATATTATAAGGCGTTAATAGAATTTTTAAAATATCCAAAAAATATTTGGTCAAAGACTTTTATGAAAACAAAAGCAGGTTCTTCCCACACAGTTCTTGATATTATATCATTGTGATCCAGTTTAAGGGGTTTTTACCTAGAAAATTTCAACCAATTTTCATGGAAATAGGTTCAGACTTCACACTTCTTATAACAACTGCAAGGGTATATCCAAGAAGACCAACTAAAGCTTGATTTAGGCTCTAGAACAAGCTACTAAAAACACTAAAAACACAAACAATTGACTTTATTTTGAGCATAACAAGAAGCATCAAGTTTTCTCCAACATTTAAACTATATTGTAAAAGCAATTTGTGTTAACTCTTGAATACAAAATAATATGTATAATCGAACTATATAATAACTAGCTATCTATATATACAACATGCATATTATGTAATGTAATGTAACACACAAAAGCTAATGCCTCTGTCGTCGCTTATCCAAAATGTCGTTTAGCCCATTTACAAGACTAATCAGATGTACGCACTGGCATATGTTTTATTTGATAATAATTATAATTAGTGTGCTACTGATTGTATATTTATTAATTTTTTTTTTTCTTCCATTATTAACGAGACTTCTAAATGTTCTTGAATTTTGTGCTCATGTCGATCGAGGCGCCGGCAACAGCCAAGAGCGCCATTTTGTTATTAACTTATAACTAACCAAAACTATATATGAAAACAACGACTAAAATAACTAAAACATATAACAACACGCTCACACACATATATATATATAAGAACGAGTACCTATCACAGTTGTATTGAAATCTTAACACTGAATTTAAGCTAAACTTAACGTACATAATACTCGTTGCGTTTTGATTTCAAATTGAAGTACTTTAAACACGAATTGGCAATTAATTTTAGTAATTTAGTTTTTTATTTTTAAGTTGTTACTAATATGATTTTTTTTATTCTCATCTTTACTCGCTACATAACATGTAGGCGTCTCTCGTTGTGGGCTAGGATTGTTGTCGTCAAGCACTTTGTGACACTTTACTCTGCTCGCCAAAGCAATGCACTTTGATTAAAGAGTCTGCTTGCCAACGAAAGCATTCGTAAAAAGTATTTATTTAACACAGCTACTCGTTATACGTTTTTATGCTTACTACTACTCGTTGGTGGCACTCGTTAGTTATGTCAACTACTAGTTGTAGGCAATCGTAACTTATGACAACTACCTTTTGTAAGTCTTCTTGCTTACATCTACTCATGAGCCCATTACTCGATATCGCTGTAGATATCTACTCGCTATGAGGCTTTGTTCTGAAAATCTCGCTGCTTTTAACTTCTAGCAAGTGCAAACTCTTATGGTCAACAATTCCCTGAGACTTGTGCAATTATTTGTTACAATTATTTTTGCTGTAAACAACTTGTTGTTCGAAGTACTCGTTACTTTTTACAATCAAGCACTGTTCACTCGCTATAAGAACTCATTACCTATTATGAATGCATATCAATAGCTATCGCTACTTATGACAACTACTCGTTACAATTTAAGCCACTCGCTATAAGTACTCGTTACTTGTTATAAATGCAAATCAATAGCTATCGTTACTTATGACAACTACTCGTTACAATTAAGCAATGGTAAAATCCGCTAGAGGACTAACTCGTTATTCACTGTATTTTCAAAGAGTAGCAAAAAGACAACTCGCTAATTACCTTAGTCGCTGGAAATATTCTCTGATTTGACTTACCAAATTATATCAAGTGTTAACCTAGACCAACTCTGTCAACCTCTTAGCTATCAGGGACCGCTTTACCCAAGTCTTGTTTTTGCACAGCATCAGCACAATTTGCGCTTGGCTATAAAGTAATCAGCACTCGATCTATATATGAATAGATATATATATATGTATGTGTATATATGTGTACATCTTTCTCTGCCTTCTTTCGTCCAATCTTTTTATTTTTCTTTATTTGCGTGCTCTCGATAACAACTTCTTGATGAACCGCCGCGCTACTCCAGGTTTGGATGTGTGGCGGTCTCCTCGAGATAGCGCCCTGCTCCCGGGTCGGTCATGTCTTTCGCAAGTCAACCCCATATACCTTCCCAGGCGGCACCACGGAGATTGTTAATCATAATAATGCGCGTCTGGTTGAGGTTTGGCTGGACGACTGGAAAGAGTTCTACTACAGTTTTTATCCAGGTTAACGAAACTCAACTACAAATCAAAACTCAAACAACAAAAACAAAAATCTCTTATCGAATGCTTTTCACTTTCCGTCTCTCTCACACACTCTCTGCCTCACCCTCTCTCTCTCTCTCTCTATCTCTCTGTCTCCCTCTATATATAACGTTTGTTTTGTATATATATAGATATATATATATATTTATCGAGCAAGTCGCACGCTCTGCATATTGCAATTGTCTGTCTTACATACTACGCACACATATATATTATATAAAATTTAGGTAGATCAAATATTAATATGCATATATATTTATATATACTTATATATGTATGTATATAGTTTATGGCATGGCCGTGACAAATCCAACAAACAACCAAATCACCCTCAACCCCCCAAATGCTCACCCTGTATATGTATTTGTTTTGTCCATTGTTTACTTGAGTTCCTTATGTCTTCTCTTGTCCCATCTCTCTCTTTCTCTCACTCACTCTCCTTCTCTTTAAGGTTCCGTTATGTCTATTTAGTTTCTTAGTTTCGTTGTATTTTTACTTGTTTTGTCCAACAAAAAAAAAAAACCACCCACACTTTTCACCACTCGAAGCCTGTTAAATGTCCCCCTCCCCTTATTCAACATCAATCACACGCATTAGCAAAAAAAAAAAATCCCTATTTTTTTTTTTTATATGGGGTATTCCGCGAAATGCCCTACAAATTTTGCACTTGAATACCCCTAACATCATGCTGACTTAGCTTTAAGCTGTTTTTTTTTACTTGGCATATATTTTTTAATCATATATATAAATTATGTTTGTTGCATGTTTTGTATATTTGTATATAGCGGTATGTGTCTTAGTTTAAAAGCTTTGCACAGTCTTTTTGTTGCTCAGCTGCTTGCACATTTAATCCCCTCACAGCTTGTAAAAAGCCTTTAACAAACACGAATGTAGCTTCCAGAAGAAAGAAAAAAAAACACCTACACTCACACTGACATAGATGTTTTAAACTAATTTCCCTGAAAGCTTACCTAACCAGGAAAAACCCCTATTTTTCTTCTCTACCGCATTTGCAACTTTAGGCGCTCGCAAAGCTTCTGCTGGAGATGTCAGCGATCGCAAAGCTCTGCGCGATCGATTGCAATGCAAGAGCTTCCGCTGGTATCTGGAGAACGTTTATCCGGAAAGCTTAATGCCACTGGACTACTACTATCTAGGCGAGGTAGGCTTTCGAGTATTAGGGGAGTGCCCGTATTAATTTATTTGTCCATATTTATAGATACGCAATGCAGAGACTGAAACCTGTCTGGACACCATGGGTCGCAAGTATAACGAAAAGGTGGGAAGCAGCTATTGCCACGGTCTCGGCGGCAATCAGGTGTTCGCCTATACGAAGCGGCAACAGATCATGTCTGACGATCTGTGCCTGGACGCGGCCAGCTCCAGTGGGCCAGTGAATATGGTACGCTGCCACAATATGGGCGGCAATCAGGAATGGGTATACGATGCGGAGGTAAAGTCGTCACGCTCAGATATAAATCCAATGAAAACGTATAACTAAAAGCACAACTTATTGCAGGAGAAATGGATACGACACACGAATACGGGCCAGTGCTTGCAGCGTGCCACGCGAGATGATGCCAGCACGCCGCTGCTGCGGCCCTGCAACTATTCCAAGGGGCAGCAGTGGCTGATGGAGTCCAAGTTCAAGTGGCAGGCGCACTAGCTAGCCAGCTAAACGGATTAACTAAACTAAACTTAGAACTTCCAATATGTGTTTAACTGTTAACTAAGTTGCCAGCAGGAGGAGAGGATAAAAACAGGAGCATGATAAAAAGCATGAGTAGGAGCCAGGCGTAGGATAAGGAGAAGAAGCTGAGTTACTAGCAAGGATTTCAAGCATTTTTTTCTCCTCTGTTACATTTATTTACTAAGTTTTAGTCTAAGATGATAGTTTTTTCTGTATCTGTGTGCGTGTGTCGCCGAATGTCTTCCCAATTGATGTGCGTGCGTGTGCGTGTGTATGTTTGTGTGTGTGTGTATAAATGTATACATAAGTGCTTATGTGCATATATATATATATACATGTTTATATATATTGTATGTATGTGTGCGTTTAGTTTATGTACCATAATGCATAGATTTGTAATATATACGTATACATATTTACCTAGCCCCGACCAAGTACCAATAAATTGGCATTTAAATGACAATGTGCTTCACAAGGAATACAACAACAACAGTAACAAAATGAAAAGAACTAACTAACTAAAACTAATATGTGTCATAGCAGAACGACTAAACCAAGTTAAGCATATACCCACATATATAGTATATGCTTAAACCAGAGCAGCCCGCACCACATTCCCCTAACTCTAATAACTATCGGGCGTTGTGTTGTTACACATATAAATATATATATAAATATATTTAAGATTTAAGTTTCTTAACTTTGTTTATTTCGACCCGCTTCGCTTTGTACCAAATGATAAAAATCGAATTCTTGTTAAAAATCTAAAATGCGCTGCATTTCCATATCATAAACAACAACAAAAATGCTTCTAAAAAAATCATAATCATAAACAAAAAACTAATTCTTTCCAAAAACACGAAACAAAAATTAAAATAAAATGCACGCATATCATAAAACAGTGTAAAAAAAAAGAAGAAAATATTTAGTTAAGGCCCAAACATATACATACATATATCATATATATTTATGGACGATATGAATATACGTATAAAAAATGTACATAATTTAGAGAGTAGCTATTAAAAATATACATTTAAATGAATTATTTATATTTATATATATTATGTGTGTGTATGCAAAAATTGTACTATAAATTGCATTTAGCATTAGGTATTTCTCTAAGTTCGAATTTAGAGTTTAGACTTAATCGAAAGTTTTGCGTCAACTAAAACGTAGCTCCAAAAAAAAAAAACACCAACAGCTCTTATAAAAAAAAACAACAAACTTAACAAATTGTGCTCAAATTTTACGCTATTTTTGCTGTTGTGTAAATATTTAAACATGTATTCAAAAGTCTAACCTGATCTAAAAATGATATCCCAAAATATCCACCCACACACACATATATATATATATATGTATATATTTATATATACAACAAATCTGTAAAAGCCAAGTAAAACGTTTTAGCTAAATTAATTTTAAAAAAGAAAACCATATACATATATAGTAATAGAGACGATATATAGTATATATATATATATAAATATATATACATGGTGACGGTGCAATTTTAATTTTAGCCTTAACTTTAGCAAAACCAGATCCAATCAAGTAACAACTGGCGACAGGCTGGATGGCATCCAAAATCTCCTATTTAGTTTAGCTAAATATTATTTGTAATTCTTTCGTTTGTTTGTGAACTCTATCCAAAAGTAACAAGAGAAACTTCAAGCCACCAAGTTGCAAGATGTCATTTTTTTTGTTCAATTAGAAACTTTTTAAATTTTATAAATAAAACTGATGGAAACGAATGAAAAACTAAAAAAAAAGAAGAAACAAAATAAATTCCAAGTGTTGTGAAAAGCTCTGCTGTTCATCTTTTAACTGATATAATATTCAATTAGCATTTAACAACACTGGCCACAACTGACAGCCAATCCTATCCAAACCCAATAAAGAATTTCGTATTGCCTCGAGCTATCTTATGTATATATTATCGGACCACAATATCATCTAGAAACTCTACTTAAGTCCTAAATATGCTTCAGGTCTAGAAACGTAACCCAATATACACATTTTTCCGCAAATGTTACTCAACTGCAAGAGTAGTCGACTTTTAGAGATGCCCTATTATTGGATCCTACGTATATGTATTTAAAATGGCGTATGGATTGCCCCCCGCAAATAGGGTTCTCTTTTATCTATCTCAATGTAATACGCAATATAGCCGAATTGATAATACTCTATTGAAGAGTTTGCGTAGAGTAATAAGGTTCATCTTAATATCAAGGCAACTGACCACATTACATTGGGTACAGGTTATTGAGAATATATGTAAATGTCACAACCATTAACCTACTCCATCTGAAGACAACCCCCTTGACCTCATAACATTGGGTACAGGGCATATTGAAAATATCGGCACAATCTTTGACCAATTTACAGGGTATTATGAAAATGTCACTTAGCATCTACTGGAGTAAAAAATCAATTTTATTTTTGTTTTCTTTTTTTTTTTAGTTTTTCACTTTATGCTTTTTAGATGAAGCATAACAGCTCTTTCGACCGGCGCGGCGCAAACCACAGAAAATTGTGTGTTGTCTATAAAACTAGGGAAACTTTAAACGTAACGGAGCATTGAAATCCCATAAGCCATTTACTGTTCCTTGGTCTCACGCAGACGACGCACGGCAGAGCGCACGGAGGCGGCGGCCGTTGTGGAATAGACCCAGGCACCGCCGGCAACGGTGCGCTTGCAGCGTTTGCACGACCAGATGCCCACCACGGAGCGCTTCATGGAGTCCTAGAAGATGCATTTGATTAGTATTTGAAATGTGAAATCGGGACGCGCCGCCTGCTGCTTACCTTGCCGCAGAACGAGCAGGTATATTTGCTGTGCTGGGTGATTTCCATTTTCTTGACCATCTTACGCAGCGAGGCACCATAACGGGTACCATATTTACCAACGATTCCAACCTTCTTGGTGCGCTTGGCCTGTATGGGAGGGGGAGAAATCAAATGAAGCCTTTATTAGAAAACAAAACTACACAATTGGCGCAATGTCGCTTTGTGCGTTTCAAAAGCAAATTAAACACTCAATTGTTAGAGCAACTAGCAGCACACGGTTTGCTTGTTTGTTTAAAAGCCTTTTTGGTGCACAAAAAACAATGATTGCTTAAATATTTAACGATTTTTGTACATTCGCACCATTTTTAAGTTGTTGATTTGTCAAAAAATTCAACAGGAAAGAGACGGCCTGTCAATGCCATGGCGTGAACTTGGCTGCGCTTGCCAGCAGCAAGCGGAGGAAAGCTAAGAGCTATGAAAATCGTAGTGGCGGCAAATAAATATTTATTACAAAATTGCATTAAAGGTGTACGAGAATAACAATTTAACAGGAAAATGGTTGCTTTAGCTGCTTAAATGTTAAAAGTATAATAAATAACATCGAATTTGCCATGTTTCAGCTGCCAAACGCAAAGTCAAGTAACCAAAATGCCATTCACATGTTTACGTTTTTGTCAGCTGTTGTGGCAAAATGCGTTTGTTGTTACCCTGCCAGTGCTGTCCAATGTGCGGTTGTGATAAAACAATAAAAAAAAAGAAAGAAAAGAAACACAAACGAATTTACATTGAGGCATTATAATATTAGTGCGCACTTTGAGAGCAACGGCCGTCAACATTTTGTCACGACTAAAGCGCCCCATTCAGCGCACACTGTTGAAAGTGCCGACGACAGGCAATAGCAACAACATGCACAGCTGTACGCTACTGCAGGATGAGGCCAACTATCAGCCGGACACGCTGGATCTCAATACAGATGCGAAGGCGGCGGCCTATTGGTTTCCCTGTTTTCGTGAGCTGGTAAACAAATTCGCCAAACAGGCGGCCAGCAGCCAAAGGGACGACGACAGCGCCGAGCAGCGTGCGGCACAATTTCAGGCCGCTTATCTGCGCCAGCTGGAGGAGCATCAGAATAACATAGCCAACAACAGCGGGAAGGTGGTTCTGGGCACCAGCGAGCTGCTCAAGCTGAACGAGACTATGCTGCGACGCTTTGGCTTCACGGATTCCTGGCTGCGCCAGAAGCAGCAGGAGAATGCCTCGGCCAAGGCGCGTCTAAAGCAGCGTCTGCAGGAGATCGATGCCATTGAGAACGAGGATGCGCGCTGGACGGAACTGGTGCGCGGCGTGCTGGCGGGCAACATGTTCGATTGGGGCGCCCAGGCAATAGCCAGCATCCTGGAGCAGGATAGCAATTTTGGACTGCATGCGGCACTAGAGCGCATCGAACAGCGTCCCTGGCTATTGGACAATCTGGACGCATGGCTGCAGCGCATGCATATCACGGCCGCCCAGCCGCCACACAAATGCGCCGTCATCTTTGTGGACAACAGCGGCGTCGATGTGGTGCTTGGCGTGCTGCCCTTTGTCCGCGAGCTGCTCAGGCGCGGCACCAAGGTGCTGCTCTGTGCCAACAGTGAACCCTCGCTAAACGATGTGACCAGCCGCGAGCTGAGCGCGCTGCTGGACGACTGCGCCTGCCAGTGCAGCATTTTGGATAGCGCCTGGCGCTCCCGCCGACTGCTGGTCTATGCGAACGGCCAGAGCGGTCCCTGCCTGGACATGCGCACGCTGCCGCGTGAGCTGTGCGACGCCATAGCTGCCAATGAGACTGATCTGCTTGTTATCGAGGGCATGGGCCGGGCGCTGCACACCAATCTGAATGCGCAGTTCGCCTGCGAGACCCTCAAGCTGGCCGTGGTCAAGAATCGCTGGCTGGCCAAGTATCTTGGCGGCGACAAGATGTTTGCGGTCATTTGCAAGTACGAGCATAGCTAGTGCCAAGCCCAGACGATTCATTTGTTATGCAATGCATTGTTTTCTTTTCTTTTTTCCAATTATTGTTATTGTTTAAACCGAAGAAAGAAACAGCAAAGAAAAGGCAAGATAAATATGAGATTCAGCTTGTCGTGTCGGGTTGTCGCTAGTTAAGACTGTGGTTAGAGGTGCGTCTGTTCTATAGATTAGGGACAGCAACAGAACTGTAAAACTTATTAAATTTTTAAAGTAATTAACAAACAAGAATGTGTTTAATTTAAAAGCAAAACAATCAATTTCAAATGTCATAACCATAACATGTACAAATCAAACAATTCGTAATTAAACAATTACACAAATAACCAATTAATTATGCTGTCAATTTATTGTAATTGTATTTGTTTATTTAACTTTATTGTTTACAAGCCAAGTTATATGTCAATTATTTTGTGAGTCTAGCTTCTAGGGCGACTTATTGTTTATACACACACACGCACGCACAGTTTGCTTTTTAATTATTAAAATTATAAATAACAATGCCTTTTGTTTATCAAGCGCAGCTACCATTAAACATTTTATCGGTCATATGGTTATAAATTAGCCAACTGATAAGCAGCCAGCACCACATTGGATTAAAGCTCTATGTCGATAAGACACGAATCGCTTTGTTTCTCTGTCTGTCTGTCCGTTTGTTTGTTTGTTTATTTAGACGTGATAAAATGTCTGTGGCCGTAGGCCCATTTAAATAGTTCTGATTATTCGCACTTGCCGTGCTGCTTTTTGCCCACTCATTTCATTTTATTTTACTTATTTATCTGCCATATATCGCTTATCTGCTGCCACTTTACATCATGATGTATGCCGCCGGACTGATAAGCGGCGTTTGCCGCAAGACGTTCAAGTGCGACTAAACCTCGTCGAGATGGTGCTTATCTATCGGCTCAATATAATATGTATATATATATACAACACCTTATTTCGACCGACTTTAGTTTCCTTTTTTAGTTGATTATTATTTTAAAAAATTTGAGTAAATTATTTGTTATTTTTGGAGAGTTTTTAAAAATATTTCTTTCAAGCTAACTTTCAAAAGATTTACTTTATCTTGTATATATCTAATTTTATTTAAATTTAATTTTTTTTTTTTTATTTTATATCAATATTAATATTTCTTTTTAATATTCGTTGATATTTTCATTTATTTTAATATTCTTTTAATATTTGATATTTGTATTTATTATTACCTTAATCTACATATATTTGTATTTATTTCAATTTATATTGATACATTTTTATTTTATATTTTTATTTAATTCTATTTTATGTTTCCATTTATTTTAATTTTATATTAGTAGTTATATTATATTCAATTATTTTCTATCCCATTTGTTTATTGTCTATTCTATTCTTTTCATTATCTTTTGTTCCATTTTATGGAAAGTTAGGCGTCTTAATTGATAAACTGATCGTTGTGCAAGTCATATATAGAAGATTATCGACTGAAAGAATGGATAAGATAAAAAGGAAGCCCGGCAAAAAGACGAAAAAAAAAAAATAATAATTAGTTAAGATATTAAAAATAATATTATAAAATATTCAATTTTTATAGCGCATCTTGTCTTAAAATTATTTATATATTTAACAAGAACTTGAATAACTTTAATTTTCTATACTATATGTATTTTTTATTTTATACAATTTTTTTTAAATGTACTGTGCGGAGATTTGTCTGCAGAGTTATGTTTTATGATTGTCTCATCTATTTATATAGCTCTCGGCACATTTATAAAATGCTCTAAAATTGGTTGCTGAAATTGACGCTAACTAAGATTCAATTAGATATTGAAAGTGTAAAAGAGTAAAAGTTGTCAAATTTTCTTATAAATATACTAAGTATTTCCCATCTGCAACTACAATTTACTGTATAAGATTGGGGCTTTATTTAAAGTGTGCCTAGTAGCTTAGTTGATAGGGAAAATAAACCATAAAACAAAAATATTTTTTTAATGCTATTTATATTAAATTGCCAATTTAAGCTTGTTGAATATAAATAAATAAAATTGAGACTTTCGGAGATGTGCGCTTATCAGAAACGCAATATGCATGTTTCGAATTGAGACTAAATGTATTTGAGCAAGATTAGCCTGTCAATTTTTTTACTACACAAATATACATAAGTACATAATATTTTTAAGTTGTATTTGGATCGATCGCATAATCTGAGAGCGGGCCAGAGACAAGCCAGCATGTTGCCTGCAAAAAATGAGTTCAATTCAAATATGCACTTGTATTCGCAATCAAATCAGTTTAAAACTGGCGGCTGGGGCTGTCGCAATACGAAGCGCGGCGACATGTATATATTGATTACCCTAATCCTCGTGCTGCTCCATTTGCTGCTGCTGCCTGTCTACTTGTATCTGACCTGGCATCACAAATATTGGCGCAAACGCGGTTTGACCACAGCCAAGCCGCTCACCTTGCTGGGCACCTATCCAGGACTGCTCACACGCAAGAGCAACCTGGTCCAGGATGTGCAGAGTGTCTACAAGTAAGTACGGCATTTGGTATACCACGGCGTAGAATTAACCCTACCTTAATCCCTCCCTCTCTCCTTCAAACTAGCAAGTACAAGGGCAAACACCGGGCTGTGGGCGTATTTGTCACAAGAAAACCACAAATTCTAGTGCTCGATCCGCAGCTGGCGCACGAGGTGCTGGTTGAGAATTTCCGTTGCTATAAAGATTCCCTGACCAGCTCCTACATGCAGCACGCCAAATGGGATAAATACGCCAAACGCAATCCATTCTGGGCAGCGGGCGTTACCTGGCGGCGGCTGCGCACAGAGGCTCAGGCCGGCTTATCCGCGAATCGCCTCAAGCAGGGCTATGCCATTTGGGAGCAGAGCGGCAGGAAGCTGACCAACTACATGGCCGAGCAGGTCAACGTGCACAACAACATACTGGAGACCAGGGATGTGAGTAAGAAACTTTATAGAGCATACAAATTTTGGTTTTACAATTTGCTAATGTTAATAATGTCTATGGACATGGGGCTGGAGGGTATTCAACTCTTATTTCAGATGTGTAAATAGCCGGCAAATTTTTGTTGTTTTATTTTGTCTCTTCCATAACAAACTACTATGCAATTTATAAATAGATTTGAAAGGCTGTCTTCTATGACAACGTTCTGCGTTATAACCGTTATGCGTTATATAGGATATTTGAGGGTACAATTCTTACATGAATTTTGAGTAAAAAAATGAACAAAAAGTCATACCTCGTGAGAATCGGTTGAATCGGTTTTGGCCGATTTACGGGTGTGGAAAATATTGGTCTATGTCTATATAGTATATTTTAGGGTACCATTTTGACATGAATTTTGACCAAAAATAATGTTCTACATCCAGTAGAATTGATCTAGAGGCCAAACCATGAATAAAAAGCCAAACCTTTTGAAAATCGGTTGAGTTTTGACCGACTTATGGGGGTGGGAAATATTGACCTATGTCTATAAAGAATATTTGAGGGTACCATTTTGACATGAATTTTGACCAAAAATAATGTTGTCAGATTTTAATGCAGAATTGATCTAGAGGCCAAACCATGAATAAAAAGCCAAACCTTTTGAAAATCAGTTGAGTTTTGACCGAGTTATGGGGGTGGGAAATATTGACCTATGTCTATATAGAATATTTGAGGGTACCATTTTAACATGAATTTCGACCAAAAATTATGCTGACCGATTTTGATGCAGAATTGCTGTAGAGGCCAAACCATGAATAAAAAGCCAGACCTTTTGAAAATCGGTTGAGTTTTGACCGAGTTATGGGGGTGGGAAATTTTGACCTATGTCTATATAGAATATTTGAGGGTACCATTTTAACATGAATTTCGACCAAAAATTATCCTGACCGATTTTGATGCAGAATTGGTCTAGAGGCCAAACCATGAATAAAAAGCCAAACCTTTTGAAAATCGGTTGAGTTTTGGCCGAGTTATGGGGGTGGGAAATATTGACCTATGTCTATATAGAATATTTGAGGGTACCATTTTGACATGAATTTTGACCAAAAATAATGTTGTCAGATTTTAATGCAGAATTGATCTAGAGGCCAATCCAAGAATAAAAAGCCAAACCTTTTGAAAATCGGTTGAGTTTTGACCGAGTTATGGGGGTGGGAAATATTGACCTATGTCTTTATAGAATATTTGAGGGTACCATTTTGACATGAATTTTGACCAAAAATAATGTTGTCAGATTTTAATGCAGAATTGATCTAGAGGCCAATCCATGAATAAAAAGCCAAACCTTTTGAAAATCGGTTGAGTTTTGGCCGAGTTATGGGGGTGGGAAATATTGACCTATGTCTTTATAGAATATTTGAGGGTACCATTTTGACATGAATTTTGACCAAAAATAATGTTGTCAGATTTTAATGCAGAATTGATCTAGACGCCAAACCATGAATAAGAAGCCAAACCTTTTGAAAATCTGTCGAGTTTGGACCGAGTTATGGGGGTGGGAAATATTGACCTATGTCTATATAGAATATTTGAGGGTACCATTTTGATATGAATTTTGACCAAAAATAATGTTGTCAGATTTTGATGCAGAATTGATCGAGGGGCCAAACCATGAATAAAAAGCCAAAACTTTTGAAAATCGGTTGAGTTTTGACCGAGTTATGGGGGTGGGAAATATTGACTTATGTCTATATAGAATATTTGAGGGTACCATTTTGACATGAATTTTGACCAAAAATTATGTTGCCAGATTTGGATGCAGAATTGATCTAGACGCCAAACCATGAATAAGAAGCCAAACCTTTTGAAAATCTGTCGAGTTTGGACTGAGTTATGGGGGTGGGAAATATTGACCTATGTCTATATAGAATATTTGAGGGTACCATTTTGATATGAATTTTGACCAAAAATAATGTTGTCAGATTTTGATGCAGAATTGATCTAGACGCCAAACCATGAATAAAAAACCAAACCTTTTGAAAATCGGTTGAGTTTTGACCGAGTTATGGGGGTGGGAAATATTGACCTATGTCTATATAGAATATTTGAGGGTACCATTTTGAAATGAATTTTGACCAAAAATTATGTTGCCAGATTTGGATGCATAATTGATCTAGAGGCCAAACCATGAATAAAAAGCCAAACCTTTTGAAAATCAGTTGAGTTTTGACCGAGTTATGGGGGTGGGAAATATTGACCTATGTCTATATAGAATATTTAAGGGTACCATTTTGACATGAATTTTGACCAAAAATTATGTTGCCAGATTTTGATGTAGTATTGATCTAGACGCCAAACCATGAATAAAAAGCCAAACCTTTTGAAAATCGGTTGAGTTTTGACCGAGTTATGGGGGTGGGAAATATTGACCTATGTCTATATAGAATATTTGAGCGTACCATTTTGACCAAAAATAATGTTGT